GGGTAGCGCAATTTGCATGATTTTTACTAAGGAAAAGGCTTAAAACTCTACATAAATGAGGAAACAGAAATCTGGCACCAAATGTTTTTTTCCAGTCTAACACAAGCAAATGAGATTTGATGCCAGTAAGCTGCATCTAAAAAGGTTCAAATAGAATTAAAGAGCAAAGATATAATCCTGAGGACAATTCAACAACTGGAAGAACTAAATAGCGGTAGTTCTGAGCAATCAATTGAAAATATTTTAACCAAAACGGTGTATTTGTTTAGAAGTAAAGTCAAAAGTTGCTCAGAGTGTTTTTGAGGCCACATTAACTGAAATGGAGATGGTTAATATGAAAGGAGCTGAAACTGATTGTCCAAGATTTGATCCAAAGACAATTTCCATTTTTCCTAATACTGTTCATGTTGCTAATTCATAGATTTGTTTCGGGACTGTTTCATAAGGCCTTGAAGTTTCTGTTACACAGGCAGATGGCTGAGATACTACATTTCATGTTATCTCTGGAAACAGACTCATCTTCAGTCTGAATGAAACAAGATTATAAAAGAGACTTCTTGTCCTCTTTCTGTATTTAGTGATTATATCTTTGGATTCTCAGATATGGTAATATTATTCCTATCACTCTGCTAACATATAATTTCCCAGAAATTATTTAGCAGGCTGTATTTGAAAGTGTGAAATAGTTGCCATTTTACCAGCCTGTTACATAATTTTGGCAGATTTGAAACTTTTGAGGAAAGCATCATGAAACGCTAAGCATTATTTTATCCAGCTTTTCAGCCAAGATCTCATGAGCATCATGAGCTTTTTAAAGTCTACTAACTTATCTAAATGATATCCAGAACAGTAAGGGTCAACTCCTTGTCCTCAGCAGGGAAAACAAATGAGGGGTCAAATCCTTAGATCATTTGTTAGAGAGACTTACTTCCTTACATTGTCATAAAAGCCACCTTGTGCTTTTTAACTGGAGTAGTAGTTTTGCTTAAACAATAGGAAATAGCCAGCTACTTCATTGTTACTGTAATGCATCAAATATACTGGCTCCATCATGTTTTGCTATCAATGCCAAGTTATTGTGATCATCTTAGTAAACACAACTTTGCATCTACAGATATTTAGATAAGTGGGATATATTAGATCTGGAGACATTGTGGTGTCAGGCTGGCTTTTTATGGGGAGACACATGACTGTTCTTAAGTAAATACTGGGATTTTTAAATATAAAGGAAATGCACAGAACTAAAATGTAGCTAGAAAGAATCCTGTTCTATTCTGTCTTTTGTGTTAATGCTCTCCACATTTACAAAATTTGAGCTTTTTCACACTATTTGTTTTGCAAGTCTAAGAATCTGTTACATCAAATGAACAAGAGAGCTGTACAAAGTTATCTTCCCAAGTCTGAGATTCAGATTGGGGAACCTGACTTTCCTACAGAAGAGTCCTTCATTAAATTCTGGAAAGATAGAGATAAGGGAATTATTATATATGAAATTAAATAAAATTAAAATTAAAAAGTTAAGTAACATGAATTATTTTAAAAAAAGTTTGAGCCATATCTTGGTCTTTATGAAAGTGATAGAAGTAGAGAATGCAATTATAACCTTTATGTCCTGTTTCAATGAACATGCTGTGCAAACAAGTATATGTTGTAGATTCATCACCATAAATGGTGCACAAAATCTGTAGTATAGTATATTATATGAGATTTCATCTTGGCAGGTGGCATTTAAAGCCTTTGAAAATGACAGTACTCTATTACAAAATCTAAGCTAAAATATTCCAGAAATATGTAACTGTAGTGGTAAAGCACAAATGTGAAATGTTAGGTTAGATGTTCCAGTAATTAATTCGGGTTCGGTTTGAATTCTAGGAAAAATACTAATACAATAATTATTTTACACTGCATTAGAGACTGTCAGAAAGCATATTACTTCAGTCTTTCTATGTGAAGGATGACAATTGTACTGATTACTTTAGTTATCACTGCTCTAAAGACAGGTGATCTTACATCAGCAATAAAGGACAGATGAGTCCCGTATCACCATATGCAATAAAGGAAGTAACATTCTGCACGAAGGGATGGACTTTTTTGTGTTGGTCACTTTTGCTCCCAGTAGAGTTGGGGTGAAATCCTCATTGAGTTTAAAAAGGACACAGGCTAAAAGGTCCTGTCTGGCTCTGAGATGCTGATGATGACTATTAACAGTTAATGTGGGACTTTTCAAACAACATAAAAAGATTTTATCTTGAAATGTTTTTAGGCCCTTCACCTCTCCCCTCCCCCACTGAAGAGGAAGAGACGAAGAATAGCTCTGATGTCATGCCCAGCATTCCTGATGTATTGCTGCGAAAACTACGAGTGCACAAATCGCTTCCAGGAAGGTAAAAGCTCATTAGAAGTAGAAAGACATCATCCAGGGACGGCACACTAGTGGTTTCCAGTGAACTACCTTTATGGGGATCCATATCAGTAGAGAAATTGCTGCATCTTAAAATGTGCAACGCAGATTTTCTGAAAAATGTTGAGGAGTCCACTGACTTCCAGTAACTGGCCAACTTTTAAAATTAGTTTGTAAGTTCTACATAAAAAGTCTGAAACATAACTTGCATGCTACAAGTACAGATTTTCCCACCAGTCTGTCCACTCCTGGTTTACAGGATTGCTGCTGCAGATATAAATTCATGTCGAAAATGTTAGTATTTGTTTCCCACAGAAAAATAATCAGGTCAGGCAATGCTTTCCAATGGAAAATTTGGACATGTAAGAATTCTGTAGTTTTTCTGCAAGTGATGATTTTTCAGCAGAGTGGAGTTTATTTTGCAAACGTATTTGAAGGACTCGCGAATTCCTTGATCTTGGGCTGTGCAAGTAGGCACTTATCAACAGATTGCTTAACACCTGCCATGGCTCAGGAGTTTCTCTGTTCCCTCTTATGCAATTTGAAACAGTATGTCTGCATGTTATAGATATGCAGGATAGCACCATACAGGGGATCATTTCAAACTAGAGGTATTGTTGCATAATGCAATGTAACTATAGCAATAGGCATCCTCTGGTCCATACTCTTCTGAGGTGGAGTCCTAATAGACTGCGCCTGCCAGGTATTTGTCCAGACCTTTAGAAATACCAATTTTCCTTCTGATTTGAGTTTACTACTATCCAAACTTAACATTTCCTTGACAGAATTTAAGTGGAATTTTCCTGTTGGGGGAAAGGTTTATGTTTAAAATGATACAAAACTCCATTATTTCAGAAAGTATTTTGTGCTGGCCCGAGAAATATATGGAGGAAAGCTCAAGTGAAGCATTTATCACCACATGCCTTGGATACTTTGCACCACTGATAACTTTAGAGAGTGAGCATATTTTATGTTGTATTGCATTAGAATAAAGCTAAGCTTCTTCCATATTTCTGCATAAGCCTTTCCTTTGAGAGAAATAAAACCATAACAAAAAAATCCTTATTAGACATTGAAACAATTCCAAACATATTTGGCCAAAACTATTCCTAAATTCACCTATGTGTTTTTATACTATAAATACCAGAGATCTTCAATCATTTGAAGCATTCAATAAGTGTTATCTGTGCAGATAAAATAAATATTTAACTTTTGTTATGAAGAAACTGTTACATACAACATTTTATATAAATGAATGCATAAGGTGAGGAAGTTCTAAGAAACCATTGCTTCATTGTAATCAAATACTGAAAAGAAAAGTAATTTCACAGCTAAGTGCAAAATAGGTAAATGCTGAACTGGCTTTGAGGATCAGATAATATCAAGATCTTCTGTTTTTCAGGTAATATGCTTTAAACAGTTGGCTTAATCTAGTGAATAAATACACACATAACTTTTCATTCTTACTATAAATTTCTCAGAATGTTACTAACCAAAGGAAAGATGCAAATTTTATCATTCTGTGCTGTGTTTTATAACACATACAGATGCTTGAATTTCCTTCTAGAAGGACTACTCCTTCTAATAGGCTTCCCCCTAGAATAACAATAAGTAATATGAAACTAATACTTTAGGCACAACTAATACTTTAGGCACAAAACAGTTTTCCAACACAGGGGGCATACTGGCCTCCCTTAGAAGGGAGTTACTTCTTTAAGTATCTCTAAGTAAAGTTACTACTCTAAATATCAATATTATTCTACCCAACAAGAAAGATCTGCTGCTCATTGATGCTAGATGTGTTGATTTTTATATTTTATGATTAATGGTGCAATGAATATTACAATAATATCTGAATTTTCTGAAAGTATCATCTGCACAGTAAATGATAGCTGTGTCAATTGCAACTCCTATTACTGGCATCCACCAGAATTTGTGTATACAGTCTTGTCATTTCTTTCAGATGTTTTTCATCTGTATTCACTTGCATAAAACTGAATAGCTGTCTGATGTTTTGGAACAATTGTGGGGAATATGAACCTGTAAATTCAAACACATGGAATGACTGCCTTGAAGTGAGATCTTGCAATATAATGTTGCCTGTCTCATTTCTTTTATAATATTCTATGAAACTGCATTTTGGTAACTTCTTCTAGTTTTTGTATAGTCAGTAATCATTCTTTTAGTGGAAAACTCATGAAACTCAAACATATATTTTGTCAGTGCCAGAATCACGGTCAGAATCATTGTTAGACAAATTCTAACAAAGTTAGCATCCAACACAGGATAATTCAGTGTACAGTGAACTGGGGTTTGGGTTCTGCCCATCTCTGTTTATCTGTGATCATTATTCTGAGATTTCAACTGTTGTCAGAAGGAAAATGGGTAAAGATAATAATCTGAAGTATAGCATATTAAGTCACCTGCAACTCCAAAAGGGTAACTTCTGTCTTGCTCTTGTACTCGCAGTTTATCACTGTATAGTGCAGAAAGCAGTATTTGCAGTTGCCAGAAACTTTGGCACGTATTTGCCAATACTCAGGTGATACTGTGCTGTTGCTTTAAAAAAAAAAAAAAAAAAACAAACATGGTGTTTAGCCATAACAAGTACAATTGAATTAATTAAATACTGGTTTCACCAAAGAAACCATAAAATATTTAAAAGGAGGATGTCTTTTGTTGTTCTTTTCAATTAAATATTACAATAGCTTTGTTTTTAGAGACAAAACTAATGAAAATGTGAATTTTTTGCTTTTATTTCTAGCTCCCCTCCACTTACTGAAAAAGAAGTTGAGGTAAGTATGTTAAACTCATTATTTTAGACATATGCCTCAATTTTAAGTGGATACTGTAAGTCTAAGGGTGGTTATTAAAACCAGGTAATGGGATTTTCATTTTTTTCAAAAAATATTTCTTAGAAACAAAAAAACATATTGACCTCAATCAAAATAACAATTTTATGAAATATGACAGTTGTCCCAGACAATATAAACTGTAAAAAGACTTAGAGTAGGAATAACAGAAACATTGTTTGTGCATTCTTTTTAATAAAATACACATTCATTTTGGAAATTACTGTAATATAATTTTAAAAATTGAGATTAAATGAGACTAGAAAATAAATTAGTTAAATTGCATTTTTATATTGGCCAATAGGAGCTTTGGGGCAGTTTTTGATGATATCTTGCAGTTAGTTTACATAATTTTTACTTTTTCAGTTCAAGTAATTTTTTGTTTGTTTGTTTGGGGTTTTGTTGTTGCTGTTGTAGGTTGCTCTGTAGCTTGCTGGCTTTGTTTCTTCTCTTTTTTTCATATACCAGTCAAGAAAAAGATTTTATTTACACAGCTCCGGTCTAAAGGAACTGTTGGTGCTGTGTGCTTTGCGAAGTATTAATCCTAAGAAATAATGCATCTGGTAAAGAAAGAAACTATCTTTAAAAGCAGGGTGCAAGAGAATAAAAATGTTAGCACTTAATCTTTTACTGGATTCAGTGGTAGGTGTTTATCCCTTAGGTAAAACAATGCTAATGGTGAGATCATCCCTGGACTTCCTCTTCACAGACTATCTGTTTAAAAACCTTGGGGACCCTTGGAGGAAGTCCAGCTAGAAAACAGATCCATTGTGATTCTCATGCTGCTGGTAGGGTACTTCCTTCATTGTGTCTCTGCTGTACTGATCTTCCAGAAAAACATGCAGGAAAATAGGCAGCAACACATTTATTCATATATTAGAGGAAGCAGAGAAAAGCGATTTTTTGAAACAATCTAATGTAAAAAAGTATTTTCAGTTTTCTGTTTCAATACTTATTTAAGCACCGAAGTTTGTTAAACATACCTTATTCCTAAGTCGTTATTGGAAATTACATTACTGTGACACTTAAAAATGCCTTTTTTTAATCCAAACAGAATGTATTTGTACAGCTTTCCTTGGCCTTTAGAAATGATAGTTATACCTTGGAATCTAGAATTAACCAAGCAGAGAGAGAGAGAAATCTTACTGAAGAAAATGCTGAGAAGGAACTGGAAAACTTTAAAGCAGCCATTGCGGTAAGAAAACAACAATAATTCTTTTTCTGAACTATGGAGTACATGAAAGTGCACACACATTTGAAATACGCATGGCTATGCTTGCTTACACCTGTTTTAAATTCAGTCCCAAAACTTCATTTTCTGCTGCACGAGCTCCTTACTGTAAGCTTCCTACCACTCTACACCAGAGAGCATTTTCTGACAGAGCAGGCCATCATAGCTGGAAATGCATAGAGGATGTTACCCTACTAACACATTTCAGGAATAAATACTATTAATTTGCTGCTCAATTCTTGGAATAAGCCTGTGACAAAGCTAAGAGCATTCAGAACTGAAATTTGAGCACTGGACCATGCTCTCCTGGGCAAGACCTTCTTTAGCAGTAAATTTGAGGTGTCCAGTTAGATGAGATACTGAAATGATCTGAGTCCTGAGATCTGTGACTTAAAAGACCTCTTAACTGCAGATAACAGAAGGCAATACAGGAAAAGAAACAGCAAGGATTACTTAAGGAGTACATGCAATCCCAGGGTCAGGTTATGGGCCTGAATACATTTTCATGCCAGTTGTCCCTGATGTTCTTTTATCAGCAGTAGTTTTCAGTCCTTCTTGCCAGCTTTCTCTGGATTTTCTAACTGAAATGACAAATATGTATTGTCAGCTTATGTGCTGCACGCATTTTTGTGCAAAAAAGGAAGGGATGCTTAGATACCATGCTGCTAAATGAAATACCCATAGACCCAATTTGCATGTTACAAGGAGGTGCTGCCATAGATTTGAGAAATAGGAGAACATACAATTCCCCCATTTACTTTATCAAGAACATCATCAGGTAAGAAAGGATACAATTAAAAAAAGATTGTAATATTTACATCTTTTCACCTGGAATTTCAAATCTGCATTTCCAGATTAATTGTTCATGGGGAATTTTAAAAGATTTTGAATGTTTTGCTGCTCTTCGCTCTGTTCTCTGTTTAAAGAGTGAGCAGAAACCGCCTATTAAATCTCAGAGTTTATTATAATAATTTATT